TTTATTCATATGTACTGTATATAGATACATATATTTTAGTGAAACGCGGTTATTTTTAATTTTACAAACTGATAACAAAATTTTATTAATTTGTATATATAAGACATCTCATGAAAATACTATGTTAATTTAAGCATTGAACTCATTGATACGTTTTCAATCGATGTTTAAATTTATATCGATATCGATACCCATCATACTTATTCATTGATGCAATAGAAACTGAAATGCAATGCAACATTTTTCCAATACCCTCGATAGCGATTTGTAATTCGAGTAGATATTTTTAAAAGCCCATGCTCGAAATATATCCAGAAGTTTTTTATCATATCTCACTTCAATCTTAATAATTTTCAATGTCCCTTGCGACTCGTGAGAATTCAGACCTTGCGTAAAATAAGCAAGAAAATATGATACGACATTAGTAAAAAATATAAGACAACATTACTTATATATACGAGTACATTGTTCGGATTCCAAGATAAATAGCTAAAGCCCCGTATTATGGAAAATCTTAAACAACGAAGGTGCCTCAACACCCAGGCCCGGGACAAGATAGAAAAGTTCATATTCTTTATTAACCCCAACTTCCAACTTGAAATCGTATCAAGCACCATTGTCATAATTTGTCATAATTTTCGGGTAAGAAATTAACGCCAATTATGTTTACAGTCCGACTTTATTTAACACTATAAAATTACAAAAATAATCCAACTACAAACTTATACTTCAACTTCTCAAATTGACGTCACTAATGACACTTCACAACACTATTAGATCGTTCTATTTATCGCTTCTGATCCGATCGCTCTTCCTTTCAAATCGCTTCACACTAGAATGTTGGGACGGGTAGTCCAGGTCCACCTCATATTTATAGTAGACATGAGTAGCTCACGAGCGGCTGATATAAATGTTACATTTGTCTCAGGTATATTTTTAGAAGATAGACAAAGATAATATATCATTTCGCTCACCTGTTTCTTTATATCTTCGTAACACGGTTCATTTCAGACTAACTGCGAGGTTAATTAAAGTGAAATATTTTTTGTGGGAATAAGCAAAACTGTTAATCAATTTAAAATATATTTAGGAATCGGAAAGCTCCTTAAAGGGATTTTTGCAAGTTATTCTATCTTGTAAATAAAACAAGTGGGTGGATTGGTGGATAATAACTGTTTTAATGTAATGATATATCTTTGGAATAAAGCTCAATTTTGGATAATTTAATTTTAGTTTTTGTAAATATTAGGTAATAACGAACCGTTATTATTAACCGTTATTTTTTTGAATCCCGTTATTATCTCAATTTAAAAAGTTGATTCAAGTATGAAACTGTAAATATTATTGAATGTAATTATCACAGAAACACATAAAAATATTTCCGTGGTAATTATAATATACCAGCGGTAATTCACTCAGATTAAGTTTCAATGTTGATTAATGTAGGAAATTGTAAATATTATAGTAATCTACATAAATGTAAATAAAATTTGTAAATAGCCATTTATTTTTAAAACATCAATATACTTGTAATTACTCGTATTTCATTTGCGACCGTTTTACTTTCAACCACTTTGCTTTATCGTGTTCAATAGAATATTTATCTTTTATATCTCGCTTAGTTCGAAAGAAAAAGATGATCTTCTCTTTCTCCGTTGCTACTTATGTCTTCGAGCTAAAAGATATATATATCTCTCTTTTCGCTTGAGTAATATACATACATTGCGCAAGGCTTATTTATAGGGGTCGATACCACATCTAGAATGCTCTGGCTTAGGACTTAGAGCAAGCATTCTATATGTTTTTCATTGACCCTATCGGTATAAAAGAGGCATTAACCATGAAGTGCTAGAACAGTTAACAGCTTCTTACTTTTTTAAGTCACCGATCCGATATACGCTTATACGACACAGGTAGTTTCAACAGTGTTAGCGCAATTCATTAGCGCATAACACCATCTAGTTACCGCCGATAGAACCGCGCCGCTGCGTTTCGTAATAATACGATAATATTTAAATTTAATAAAACTCTAATTTCGAATGAATTCCCTACAGTTAAAAGTTCTACTTACGATTGGTCCAGTCTAAAGTAAACTCCTCGAACAAACTATCACAACAATGTAAAATAGGAAGTTTATGAAATTACCCAGTTTCACTATATTGTTGCCGAGTGTTACAAGACGAACAAGTTTTTCGACAGAAAAACATTGTTTGTGTGTGTTTGTAGACGCTGTTGTGTAACTTTTTATGATTTTACTTTGAGTTTTCAAAGGCGTTTTTCCATTGAGACCTACTGTGCTGGTATGTTTATTTCCATTTTTGTTTTTTCAGATTTTGTTACAGTAATTTGATTTGATTATTTCCATTAATATTATTAGAAGTTTTCTATGATATTGATGTTTTTTTTCAATTTATTTAATTTGATTGAAATTTCTAATTGCCAGTCAGCTTTTGTTTGGTATACTGACACGTATAAAGTTTGTGCGTTGGTGCTGAAAAATATAAAGAAATAAATAAACTCGAGGAAGTTAACTATAAAAAGGGCAATCTATACAAATTAAACCTGTTGCTAGTTCAAAATTTCTCCTTTTATCAAACAAGGTAAGCTTCATATTTACTTCTGGTGATATTTTTATGGATTACGCTTGCAGCGTAATAAATACATTTCATTGTACACTACAGAAATTTATAAAACAATACATAAATAAATAATTGTACAGTAGGCGGCCTTATCGCTCGACAAAGATTTCTCCCAGGAAAACTAAATTGCGAGAAGAAAATTATATATACAGTAATAAATAAGCGGGGGTATGATGTGCGAAATATTCTTATCATTCTTCAACATAATCATCTTCTTCGTCTTCTTCATCGGGCAATATAGTTGTATTACTGAATAAACTCTTAACAACAGCTTTGATAGCCTTCAAAGCTCCCTGACGTAAGAGTGTCAACTTGAACTGCATGAGCACTATTAGATACGTTGACATGTAGGAAATGTTCTGAAATGGCAATAAAAAGAAAACAATCTATACTAAGCTGTTTAGATATTGAGATAATCTGAGAGATCCAGGATTCAACGGTTAGCTCTATTGGTTTGTATTAAATTGGCAGAATTAATCTGCCAATTTTTACATAATAATTGCATCTCAATAGAATCTCACTCAACTACTTATATTTTGTCATTGGAGTTCCTGACAAAATGTAATTTGAGCGAGACCTCTACCTGAAGTCCAATATTATTAATGTAATGTCTTCCTTACAAATCAATGGTGACAGATTTATTTATTATTTGTGATCTAGTAACAAGAACTGTCATAATGGGTTGGAGTTGAAGCGCGATTGACTTTCAATTACAATAAAATTAATAGAATTGCCGAATCGGCTGCTGCTCGACGATATAACCTATCCTTACTAGGGTCGTTACTTTATAATACCGATTATATACCTCGGCTTGAATAACTATTTACTATTATTATTAATGATAAAGGTCGTAAGAATTAATTTATAATTTATCCTCCATCGATATTGTTGTCAATGATACCATAGTAATTGACTTTGCAATTTGGCCTAGGAAACTTTAAAACCTTAATAATAGCTCCCGGGGTTTTAATGTTAGTAAGGCCGTCAAGGTTTACGATGGGAAGTCCTAGAGATGGGAACAATTCGGCGTTTCATAACGTTCTATGCAAAGTTAAGGCCCAAATTTTATATGTAATATTCATAGTCAAAAATAACCTTTACTTAGTATATCTGTTGCTTGTGATACAAACGCTGCACGATTTAGATAAAAAACGTTATCTATCTTTTAATCCCACTACTAATTCAGAATTTGGATTTATATAAATAAAAATGTATGTAAATATTGGAACTACACTTAAAACTCGAGAACAACTGTAAATAAGTATGTACCCTTGCAAACTGCACCAATACAGTTAATCTTTTTAGTAAAGTTTGTTGAAATTCGAAGTAGGTTCGTTTGAAGAAATTTAAAAATGGAAAAGAACGTTGTGCTTTGGCTCGGCTCCTAGAGCTAGAGAGAGTAGATTTTGAGTGGACATAGTAGTTGACTTGTAGAAAACAGACACTGAGACACATTGGGGTTATTGGTAGTGTCAATATTTAATACGGAATTTAGTTTAAAATATGTATATCTATGAAAAATAAAACATTACTTTTTAACTGAACTGAATGAATTTTAATGCGGCTTTCTACAACAAATAAAGTTATTTAAGAGGAAGGAAGCCGCTAGCGGGAAGCTAGTATTAGTATAAATATTGAAATTTGCTAGAAATAACAAGTCATGCCAGTTTCTTTTTAATGCAAAGACCTCATTACCTTTGAAATCTGCTGATAGCGCATATAGGTGAACGGGAAACGAGATGAAATCGCAACGTTGCAGCTTCGTACTTTTTTAGTCGAGATAATTTTTTTAAAACCTTTTAGACCCAATTACTTGACCTAGTCATAAGATGTACTACTCTTCTTATATTTATTTGCTGTACATTTATACTTTGTTTAGCTATTATTAACTTGGTTTATGCGTTTTCAAATGAAAATAGTAATATTATACAATAGTGGTAATTCTGTTGGCCCCGACTAATCTTATTGGATGTTTGTAATTTTGTAAATAACTAAGGTGATAAGGTTAAAATTATATTTAAGTTTTCAGGAACGTACATAAGTCTTTATATTTTAACCCCGCATTCGAGTGGTTTGCACGCCGATTTCAAGTTGTCGCCCTCTCCGAGGTCCCGGATTCGTGTCCCGGTCGGGTCAATGTAGAAAATTAACTTTTCTATATTGTCTTAGGTCTGGGTGTTGTTGTATCTCAGTTGGTCAGATACTCCTTAATTTGAGACAACGAAGGGTTTTAGCTACTAATCATTGAATCTGCGCAATGTACGTGATGTTGTCTAATTTGACTAATATTTACTATTTTTTTTTATTTCTCTGATTAAATTCCCGTTCTCTAAGCCAAAATTAATATTAGAAAATTTAAGTTTAAGAGAGTGACATATTAGAATTCCCACAGACATTACAATTACTTACAGCCGCGAATAGTTCCCGGTTGATGTTGGTAAACCCATCCAAGTTCATGATGGGTGGGTTCTTAGCGATGGCCACCAAGAACATTTCTACCTCTCGTTGAGCACTGCGATCAATGGAGGCTAAATTGACATTGAGCAGGCGTACAGCGAACTCAAAACCAACCTAAAAATAGTAAAAAAATATACATTATACATCCCAGTAACAACACGGACCATTTTACGGCCATAAAATAATAAATAAAAAAAAAAATTGATTATTGTAATAGCCAAACAATGACTACGGCACGTGTAATAGACAGTGATCATTATATGGGTACCCGAGACACTATAGAGTATTTGTACTCTATAAGTTTCGTAAGATTTGTAACGTCCACAAATATCACCTTTTTGTATTGAAAATCACACAGACAGGTGGCGCTGTCTCCGAATATTTTCGCTCTAACGACACTACATATTTTCGAGGGATTAAAACGACACAAATAAGTCTACAAAATTTACCTTTCGCGTAGCGTGATAGGCCTCGTTGCAGATTATGAACAGTAACGTCATACAATATCCGACTATGACAAAAAGTCCCATCTCTTTGTAGCTAAGACCTGAATCCAATATCTCAGATAAGGCGCCGTACAAGGAAATAGTAGTGGTGAAGAAAATTACCAAGCAGTAGATCCCGTACATGTTGGAATAAGCTCGGCCTGTTCAAATCATATTAACGAAAAAATATTAAATTGATAATAAGTATAATATATAACACATCTCATGTCCATATTTCCATTGTCGATTATTAGTACCGATGAAAAGTCGGTCAAGTGCGTCTTGCGACTCGAGTTCGTGTACCGAGTGAAAATTCTATCATGATATTGAAATTGGCGAAATATTATGTATTTTTCTGAATTTTAAAATCTGGAAATGATAATTTTATATGACACTCATTCGTATTAGAATAGAATAGGTATTTATTTGGCAACACACATCACATACGCAATTTACATACATAAATATAACAGAAAAATGTCAAACATAACATCAAAAAAGGAAAACATAAGAATACACAATGAAGACACTGAAATAGTAAATAATGTGTCATGGTGTGTGTCGCCAATCTGGCCTCAGCCCAGTATGAGCAGTAAGCGGGGCTTACTGCTTATTATTCTTCTTTAATTTTAATACTAGCAAATTATACAATTAATATATCGTATCCCATATTATTGATAATTAAATTAAGTTTTTTGTACGATTTTGCAACTACCGTGTCGACATTTCTGGTTACCCTGATTGATTGAGGTCGGCCCCGGTCGGCAGTTGTCAATTAGTTAATAACAGTTGATTAACGCGTAAGCCTACCTGTCATTCGATAAAAGCAATCCGAATATAATTGCAAATGCAAATGAGAAAATAAATTGAACATGAATATTCGGTATGTTTCCACTCCATAAATACACTTTTTTATACCCATAAATTCTGATTTTCCCCTATTTGTATTAATCTTGTTGGAATAGAACTCTATCGTTTATAAAAGTACTTGCCCCGATAAAGAAATATTGACATATTTTCATCAATTTTTTTAAAATTTCTTTGGTGCTCGGCCAAAAACAATTTAAAAAATACTTTTAAGCACGTGTGCAGTAAAGGATTTCAGTACATTTTTATTTAACACGTGTTTAAAGACTCACTTTCGGTGTTTACAATGGATTAAAAAAATAGCGCTTTATGAGCACCTGCATTGAAAAACTAATTTACAATACTGTAATTTTAAATCTAATCTTATATTTGATAACTAGCTGTGCGCGAACTCGTGACTTCGCCTATGTAAATAATAGCCTGCAACGGTGTGCCATACCAGCGTTTATTTTGTCCTAGGTTTCAATATACAAACTTTTTTCTTTGAAATTCAACATCATTTCTTTTAAGTATTCACCTTTCGTAATTTGATTTATCCAATATACTCTTTATGGATGTCAGTTCGTAAAAAATCATAGTGTTAAATCGTATAAATTTTAAAATAATTGTTAATAATGATTAATGAGAAATTCATATAGAAATCATATAACATAGTGAAGTGTAATCTGTAACTTGGACGATCCAAGATTTAATCAAGAAACCCAAAAATCGTATGTACGAATACGAGGTATGTATTCGTTTTATTTGGTAATTTTAATTTTATATTTAGTTTAACATACGAACTGTTTTTATATTCATTTTTTGTTTGTTACAGTTTCTTTACTTTATCCTTTATACAATAAATAAATCCATTCTCAAGCTAGTCAGCCTTTCATTAATTGACCCAAGCATCGAACTCGTCACAAGCCTATGTCATCCGCGCAGTTTCTCATTGACGAAAGAATTTTTATGATCGGAGCAGCTTTACAGAACCCTTCCCTTCAAACAAATAAACAAATTTAGAAACATACCCTCTGTATAATATAAGTATAGATAAGTTTTTAGTAAACGAAAATGATCAAAACTTAAGACTAACAACTGTATTCATTACTTGTAAGTTCAGATGATACTTATTTTATAGCAAAACAAAAAAGTTAGTGATGGTTGCCAGGTTGCTTGCATGTTACGCTTGTGTATTTATATTTGAGAGAGGCCGATGCACAAACCTATTTCGAATGCTTACTTTGTTTTTTGAAAGCGTAACTTGCTAAATATAGTAAGTTTACTACAATTGAAAGTATAGTCCCTGCTATGTTCAGAAACAAATCTAAATATTCATGGTTGAATCAGTGATACACCCCGTGAATCGCTGTCTGTATATTTTGTGCCAGATGCTGGAAATGGTAGGGTACGAGTTTTATGGGCGTTTCGGTGAAATAATACTTGTGTTAAGGTAAGCTTCTGTTAAAATTGAAATGTCACATTCACACGCCTGCAGACTATTTATTGTCAAGTTTTATAGCAAAGTATTTTTTTTTTTTAATAAAACAACTGTTTTGTGATTTTAACGCGGGAACGTTTTTGTAAACCTGTTAATTTTTTTAGATGTTTCGAATCTTTTGTAAGCGTCGTGTTCAATACGTGAATACGAGTCCGAAGTTGTTTCATAAATTCAAAATTTGTTTTATAAATAAACAGAATGCGAGGAAATATATTATCAATTTTGCATTTACTGAAAAATATTCTTAATGAAGAATATTTAAATATCCATTTTGTCCTTGGCATTCACGAACCCATGACCTTTCGCAATCCGGGCAACTGATCTAACTACTGAACAACCCAGGACCTAACAGAAATGAGGAATTTTTCAATCACTTGTTATTTTTTCGCTACTACAGAGCGTATTTTTATCAATGTTCAGACAATCCACGCAGTCAGAAGAAAGAAGTATTCAAACTTTCGATAAAGATGAAAATTTCTCTAATTATTATATTTGATTCATTCTGCATTCACTGACTGATATTCTTAACGAAAATATGCTTAAAAAATGCACAGTTTTAGATGATGTATTTGTCAAATCAATACAATATTAAAATCCATAATTTTGGTTCATTTTTCTTTACCTTCCATCATTTTAATGTTAATCTTCTCAATACAGAATGATTACGTTGCGTTTGTAATAATACACTTCAAAGAATTTCTCTAAATGTCAATGATCCTTTTTTCTCAAAATTCGAATAGCAATATCACACATTTTGCCATTGATGTTCATGATGCCCTCTATGCTGTATTTATTTACACACCTTTAATGTGAGTGACGTTTCATTTGCGCCGAGCCTGGGTTTTTTACCCATACATTCTGAGCATTGTCCTTTAGCAAAATATTCTTACCTAGTTGCTGCATCATGTGGGATAGATCTACCCACAAATGACGATACTGAGCTAGTTTCAAAGCAGGTTGCTCTGCCTGCAGAGCTTTATGCAGATTCAAAGCGAGTCCTTTGGAAGCAGTTCCAAAAGCATTACAATTTATATACCTGAAATAAGTATTAGTGCTATAATAAATTTTATAATCATCATCGTATATTAATAACTAATTATTATTGGAGGGCTTTCTTGTAGACAGATACTTAGTGAAAACGGGTTTTTCCGATTCTGGCTGAGAAAGCTGCCAATACCAAATTACCACCATTTGAATGAGTTAGGAGATGGTAATGTTTTATTATGCTGATATATATGTATTTTGCCGATACTACTTGTATAAAGAATGGTAAATACCGTCTACGTACTTATTTTACTTTAAAAATAAATATTTTTTCATTATTTAGATGCGTATAATTACCACAACGAACAAAAGCCATCAAGCATAGCAATGATATGATAGTAAGCAAACGAGTGCCACAATTCGAAGTCATCTTGGAGATAATGTTGCGAAAGTATAACTCCGAAGCTCAGACTCCACGAGAACACACACAGACCCCACGTCAGTATGTAAAGGTTGGGAAACACTATCGGCGTTCCTGTAATCTTCAGATACTTCAACTGAAACGTAAGAAATTATAATTCAATAATTATTTTCACTTAAAAGATCCAATTCAATATTTGGTAATTAGTTCAATAGATGATAACTGTATTTTATACTGTTACTTATCAATAGTTTGCGTATCGATAGAAAACCTCAAAATTCATTGAAAGACTATCGATTAGGTTCAATCGGTAATATCAACTGGATAATGATAACAATATTATCGGTAATATATAGATAAATTATGCATAAAATTTAACGATTTTATGAATTTTATGCGATATATATTATAGGTATATAATATTTATTTTTATTATATTACATTCAAATAATACATTTTTTAAACACTTCGATTATAAATCACTTAACACAAAATGACCATATTAATTTAAATTTAGTGAAACTGTGAATTGATATATTTATATAACCATTTCTATAGACATAAACTAATGTCACTTCGTGTTTTCTTGAAATATTTAACTTCTAAATTGTTTTTGGAGAGTTTGTTTTAATTAAAACCTCAACTACAGATCCTGTTAAAGTCTCAAACGTCAGAAAAATATTATTGTATTATAATTAAAACTCACTTCAGATTATTGGACTCATTTTATTAATTCTAGAAAATGAATTCAATCTTTGTTAGAACTCGAGACTTTGTCAGAGTAGTATTATTTTTTGCCAAAAGCACAACATATGTTATTTATGTAAGAGGTTCTCCACTTCATTCGATTCAAGTTAAATTTTGATAGCTTGTCATTAAACCAAAATTTTATTTAGTGGCTTTAAAGACTTAAAAAATAACGAAAAATTTTTGAGTGGCCACAAGAAGTGCATTTTTTTTCATCTACGTATATGTCCATTGTCCATTCTTTCACTCAAACGCATAAGTTTTGGAAGGCCTTTATAGTCTTAAAGCTCGTGACTAAAATATACAACAGTTTTTAAAGCTTAAGTTTTCAGTATGTTGAAGTACTAAAGGCATAATATCGATCAGAACCCAGTGCGGAGGTCTTGTACTGGAACACCTCAGAGCTGGCTTTCGCAACAACTTCTGAGATGTGCTGAGTCGCCATGTTCCACGACTGTGTAATCTGAGTATTTTTTTGTCAACCTACTTATAATTATTTAGCAATAAATAAAATTTCAGCCATTACAAACTCTTTTTCGAAGCAGAGTTTCACAGTTGTGTGATCTTAGTACATTTTTTTAAATTAAAACCAAGTTTATCACAAATTTTGAAAAATGGAATGTGTCATGTACCACTTAACTTTTTCAATGCGCGTCGTCACCTGGTGTTCCAGCACCTGGCCTTCGCACTGGGTTATTGAGTACTTCAACGTACTGAAATATCAATCTTTAGAAAACTCTTGCACATTTTTGTCACGAGCTCTATGTCTATTAGATAAAGATTGGTACGACAATATATTGAATCCCCGAATAATATCTGTTATATAAGAAGTAAGTTTAATAAGATTTAAAAGAATCCTCGCATTACTTGGTAATGGGTCCACATATCCTTGAATATAGCCACTTGCGGGCCGTGCCGCCACGACGCAACAGGTAAAAGAAAATGTGGTATGAGAATGCTGAGAAAAATGATATTGTATATCACTTCATCGAAGCGTTTATTTGTGTTCTGCTGGAAATTCGTCAACCGTTCTTTACCCACTGAAAACAAAACGACATTATATTTTTGAATCAGAATATTTTCGGAAGAAATGAGGAAGGGAAAAGGTTACATTAAGACAAATTTTACCCACTTAAGTTTCTTCTTCAAACATCACAGATGTTAAAGAAGAAGAAAATTAAAGTTTGACATCTAACAATTTCAACAACAATTAAATTGTTTTTAGGGAACTTTCAAAGCGTGACAAATTATAATGTAATTTAATACTTTGTATTTCAACTTAAACGAAAATATTATACTTGACTTAAGTATTATTTAAGTATTTAATGAATTTTCAGTTTATATTAAATTGATAAAATATTTTTGTCTATTTCCGAGTAAGTAGTAGGCACTTCCCTTTCTCAATAAAGGTACATATAATATACTAAACAAAAATTTCAACTACCCTTTTATCATTTATATCTCACTAGCTTTCGCCAGCGGCTTCGCCCACGTGGATCCTAGGGAAATGTTTAGTGGGATAAAAAGTATCCTACTATCTAAGTCAGCTAATACCCTAACTTTATACCAAATTTCATCAAAATCCGTTCAATATTTTCGGCGTGATTGACGGACAAACATCCAAACATCTAAGCATCCAAACAACCAAAGTAAGAAACCTTCACATTTATAATATTTATAGGAAATAATAGGATTACATGAGAATAACATTATATTAGAGATGACGCTTAGTCACTAACCAATTCAAAATTATTAACTGAAGAAATATTTGAGACAAATCATTTAGAGAGTTATTTTTTAAATATTTGGTATCGCTTTAGACTTCTAGCCATTATTCGGCTGAATTTATAAAACGTCATGAACTGGTATTGCTAACATTTTTACAATGTCGATCTTTAGCGCCACAGACTAGTCATTCGTCGATCTCTAAAATTAAATAATTCACTATAATGCTTTTTTATGTTGCAAAATTGTTATAAATCTAATTTACTATTTTTTATATTTCTCTACTTGAAGTGAGTTGGGTCTGGTATATCCGGAGATTCGACTGCCTAAAGGGACTTTTTGTTGGCATAACAAGAAAATTTGTGAAATATCCAAGCTGTGGAATAGTTATCTTGATATTAAAAGTTAGATACTCACCTCTAATGACTATTATAGATTCGAGACTCCACACAAGATATGCCCATAGAGTAGCTTTCGATATCCACTTGAAAGTGGTCCGTTTAGTCGTTTGTGCATCTAATAAAAAATATAAGATATATTACATTATAATATCAATGTAATGAGTAGGTACTGTCAAAGACTTTAGTCTATGTTTAACTAGTCGAACTTAGAAGTCGAACTTAGAACTCATTGAAGCAGATAATGAAATCAATAACAACATTATCCATCATTTATTTTCATAGCGTGTATTTATCACGACAACGAGCTAAAATTTGGAAAACTTTCACAACACCATTACTGGTACAAAGTAAGTTACTAAATGCCACGTGAAAATAATAGCCGAAGTTGAGTTTCACAATTATTATTTGTTGATACCAGATCATAAAATACGATAAACTCTGACTTTGAACAATTCCACGAAGAAACTCGAAAGTCTGTAAATTATTACACATTGGCAACTTCTCCAATCGGAGTTGTAAGCGAAGCATTTTCAACTGATATTTTACTTTCTCAATAGAGTAATTATTATTTAAATAAAAAGTATTGATAACATTCACTGCCATGAAAATCTACGAAATTGAAAGTAATGAATAAAAAAAGATATTTAGTACCCAGATTACCCAGCAGATTTCGATACCGACTAGGTTAATAGAAGTCAACACAAATTTTCGTATTGATATGAGTGTTGTTGTAATATCGAGATTTAAAGAAAATTTCATAAAGTATCTCATAGGTGAAAGAATTTTTAAAGCGGTCTAGTAGCTTCTAGTAGTTTCAAAAACAACTAAGATAACTAAGTACCAATTTATGCGATGTTGCAGAATACGCAATATAAGTGTAAAGTTTGTTGGAATAGTGATCTTCCATGCTGCATATCAATAACTAAAGATAGTTTAAGGAAATATTAGTTGCTACCTTTTGGCACTCTCACAATGGGCATAATTCCCATTATCTGGAACAACACGAGTAGACTCTTAGTGGTGTGATAGAAGCTGTCGTGTTCATCCAGTAGAGCGCCATCTTTATCTGTGATCTGTGGTCCGTATAAGTCACCAGTTTCGTATCCTAAAATAATTATGAACTAATTGACCAAATTCGTGTCGATGTCGATGATCGGAGGATAATTAATGTTGATGTTCCATTTAATTACTGTCCTTTGTTAAGAGGATAGCCTCTTTTTCAGTTATCTAGTAATTTAACCTAAGATTGAGGAATTAATAGGATACGATATAGTAATAAGGTTGCATACCTACATACGCAATCTCAAACCTTTTTCAAGATATAATGGCAACAGTGAAAAATAAAATATACGCGATCGACTAATGCATTTTTTTCACCATTTTTGCAAATAGGTGCATTTGGTTTTTATTTTTATAGTTAAAATATTTACAAAAGGTTAATAGAATTCTGCAATGTGTTATCTGGCAAAGATTTGAATCCTGAAAATGCTCATAATTCAGTAAACATTTTTGATTATATAACAAAGTTTTATTCACTGTAAAGGCAATCTACTCTATTTTGTTTCGCTTACTAATTATTCTTTTAAAATAAGTCAAGAATTTAGAGGTAACCCATAATATTATGAAACTCTTCAATGGAGAAAAGTTTCATAATACATACCGTTGGCTTATTTAAACTTTTTATCTTTGTCACCCGAACAAGTACTGTAAAGTCGCAATCTTATCTTATCCCAGGTTCGTTTTTTATTACAACCCAAGCGAAAGTTGTTATTTTTAAACATAAAGTTGATTAGGGAATTGTTTAGAATGCAAATTTTGATAAAGTAAAGTTATACTTTGTTGGTTTGTTCTAAACACAATTTCAAGTGTCACATGTCATAATATAAACATGCTCGCAACAATGTCACGACTTGTTTAATATAATGTATTCAAAGTCTCAAAACAAATTTAGCGATAAGTACACTTATAAAAACATGAAAGGGAAAAACCGTATTTAAAAATGTATTTCAAATAAAGCCGACTTATCTACAGATGGAGGTAAATAATATTAAGCATGTGTATGTAGCCACTTTTTCTGTAACGACTACTAACTTGGTCCCTGGCACCATGAGATGGGAAATGAACCCACCAAGTGGATTTTTTAAGCACTTTGTAATAAGAATAATTTTCAGTGTGGCATTGTGAATGCAAAATTAATCGAAATATAATAATTAGAACAAAATTCTCATCTTTATCGAAAGTTTCAATATTTGTAACAATATTTCGTTCGGCTGTTTGGGATGCCTGAACATTGATGAGAATACGCTCTGTAGTAGCGAAAAGTAACAAGTGCTTGAAAAATTCGTCAGTCCTGTTAGGTCCTGGGTAGCTCAGCGATTAGAGCAGTCGCCCGATTTGCGAAAGGTCGTGGGTTCGATTCCTATCTCAGGGTGCCAGGGACCAAGTGGATTTTTTAAGCATTTTGTATTAAGAATTATTTTCAGTATGGCATTGTGAATGCAAAATTAATCAAAATATATTATATTCTAATTATAGCATCTATAGTATAGTAGCTAGGTGGCGTAGTGGATAAGCGACGCGGCCCGCGATTGTTGTTGTTGAGCAACTTGCGCAAGGATCAGTCACGGGATGGGCGAAGAAAATAATATTATCTCGAACTACTCCGTACTTCGAAAGGTACTCTAAGCCATTGGCCCCGGCTGCATTCGCAGTCGTTATTATGCCTCCAATCCATATTAGCCAAGCGTAGAGGGCCATTCTCCTTCACCGTTCATAAGGACGGCCTGAGCCCCTGCAGTGGGGACGTTAAGAGGCTGATGATGTTTAGTATCCTATGATCGAAACAAGTAATTACTTGATCATATGACTTAAGCAATTATATTTGAACCAACAGACGAGAAATAGAATAAAGCAATCAGTAAGAATCAATATTTGGTTATTATTATCGGAAAACGAAGATTTTTATTGTCACTTGAAAAATATCATCAATGTTGTCATTGTTGTTATTCTAGCAAAAAGTGTTCAAATACCCTGCTATTATCTTATAAATAATGCATAGAACACAGCGCTGTATAAGTGTAATAGAGTTTCTATCAAATCTACTTCTAAAAGTTATAAAGGTTTTATTTAATTGAATATCTAATGCTCCAAAATTAATATAGTCGACGCTGTATTTGTACTGACCATTTCATACACGTGCCGAGAATATAAATCTTGTAATATTTAATATCTCATAACAAAAATCTTAAATATATATTTATATATTTGGATCAACAAAATTTATGAGAATTACAATTAAAAAATTAACCATTTATCATTACAGAAATTCGTTTCGAATAAGGAACTTGATATATAGTAAAACCACATGATTTTGTTAAAGAAGGTTTTGTCTTAGAGTCTTCGTCCTTCGAGGCTTTTCTATGAATATTAATATTGAAACGATACGTACGGTATGTTTGTTTTTAAAAGAAAAGATTTGGCTGAAGTAGGTGTCTTAAAAAGAGGTCCTAAGTAAATATGGAATCTGAAAGGGACGGCATGTTTTGTTAATGGATTTTTAGGTAAAACTATTTGTACTTTTTTATATTTTAAGGGGTATAAATTTGCAATTATTATTTCTATTATTAAATAACTGCTATTTTAATACAGAAAACTACAAATTACTTCCCCTCTTTGGATATAAATTTTCTGATATATCTTCATACTTCAAAAAATTAGTATAAAACCCGTAATTCAAATTCCTCATCATCATCAGCCGTACGTCATCCACTGCTGAGAAATTTTATTCAATTTATTTGGAATAAAACGTTGTTACAATATGGCAGATGGACGATTACGACGATCAATTATCAAGAACGCTTCATACGTTCAGTCTTTATAGACACGCAAAAGAGTAGCTTTTTACGGAAGTGCTACCTCATTTTTATTGAGTCTTCGATATAAAAACTCATTCAATAAAAATGTGTCTTTTTTAATAGATATGGTGATTCAAAAGAATTCACAAAAAATGTGTTATCATCAATAAAATAAAATGCTAAAATAAAAAGCTGGTCATATGGGCTATTTATCAAAGTCAAAAAGTACCTACAAAAATGCAATATGTCCAACGAATGACGTAAATTAATTATTAATGAGTAACAAAATTATCATTATCTGCTAGGTATTAACACGCACGATAATAATATTTGTGTACAAGGAAGCGGTACAGTCTAATTTTGTTAAGGAATTCTCTATCTATCTATATTTTCTTATTCCCTAGATAGTTGGAGCTCAATGGCGTAGTCATTAACGCACTCGGTCCGTGATACGGTTGTATGTTAGCAACTTTTGCAAAGTCCGGTCGTGGGATGGGTGAGAAAAAAGCTTATTATCTAGAGCTCCTCTGTGTTTCGGAAGACTCGTTGAGCCGTTGATTCCGGTTGTATAAAGTCGTTAATAAACATTAATATTATTGAAACTACACAAAAAAGGAATTCATTTTAATATAACTAAAGAGAACAATTATTACCTTTATGCAACTCATCATCTTTCTTTTCTGCATCGTCGTTTTGATTCGATTCGTATACACGGAACGATTGCGGCTCCTTGTTCATTTCCTATGATTGTTTCGGATACGAAGGTGTTCGGTCTCCGTCGGCATAGAATGAGCTATGAAAGCTGAGTAACAAATACTACATAATCAATCATAACCCACCCGCCTCAGCTTACTTGGTTATTCGCGTTGTCAATGAGATGCCATAGAGTCGCTATAGCAGTATTAAAGTAATTTAATAGAAATTATAAAAATATATATCTGCTGTTATTGACCCCAATTATTACAAATTATTATTCCGTGCGTGGTAAATTACCTAATTCACTCCTAAAGGTTCGCTTACGTTCACATACAAATACGCATCTAGAGTAAAGACGGGCGTCTTTTCTTATATTTTTAGTCTCAGAAAAAAAATTATGCAGATATTTAAAAAAATTGAAACTTAAGATTATATCAAAACCTGTTTTTGTATATATACTTTCATATATTTAAGATGAAATATAGTATTAGTCGTAAAATCTATCCAAAAAACCTATTTAAAGTCATATTTGCGATGTTTTTCTATCGAGCCAATTATTGAAATTTGTGTTTCTGTTAGCAAAAAAAAGATCGTATTTTTAATTTTCATTAACATTTTAACTTTGAATTAAATTCGTTTAAAAAATTGTTGGTCATTTCATACAATCTCACCTTAATCCCTTTGAAAGCAATCCGTCTACATCTGGCAGTGGAAGATCAGAAACTTCCATTCGAAAAATATGGCTGTTCCGTGACCTCTGCGTTCAATGTATTAATTAGCTGAAGCATTAATAAATGGCATCTCATTCTCATAATTATTCTTTTGCAATAGATGGTTAAGTGCAGTGATAACAAATAAACCAGTGCTGCTTTTTCGACCCATGTCATGGATTAATGCCGTTGCGTATACGCTAAATAGACGACACCTTGTAGCTGTCAAGAGGTAACATTGCTTATCCTTTCAACATCCCTTACTTATAACAATATTTTTAAAAACTCCACTAAGGAGCGCGACAATCGTACATCCTTTTTTCTCTTCATTGTTGTTTGTGGTGCATAATCGCAATTTAGAATCCAATAAGTAGCATCATACATCAACCTTGGTCTTCTCTTTCATTAGAACTCTTTGGTATATCAACATCACGTATAACGACAGTTAAGACCTTTACGATAGAGATAATAAAACACTAGTCAAAACTCTCTTACCAGACGGAAACCTTGATTAGCCAACATACAGAGTGGAAAGGGCTATTATGCTTCTGAACTTGGTTTAGGTGTATACAATCATAGATTTAGAAACTACACTAGGTCTAAATTAAGATAATAGGAAACAGACTGTGTAATGACCACGTTACGTGTAATTGGCAATAGAGTAATCCATGGTCCATTTCTTGGTCAGCTCTTATGGCTGGTTATTATATGAATATCAACATTTGCTCCATAGACGTCTATAGCCTGAGACATCGAAGCCGCACCGATGACGCCGCTACGTCGCTCCACAGCCATTAATTCATATTTCACACTAATGGCGACTTTCGAAAACACTTAACCATCCTAAGTGAGTTGTTAGCACGACCTTGCAAACTAAGCGTTAAGTATTCATTACTAAGTTCCAGGATTAAACATACGATCGTAAGGATGTTTAAGTAGCCTTTCTGAAGACAAAATGATTTTACATTTAATGGTCAGATTTGAATATCACGTTTTGTTTTTATGCCAGTAATATAATTAAATGCTTAACGGTAATAGATGATTTTTAATAAAATCAATTAAAGTGAGTTAAGAATATTTGATGAAATAGGAGTCTGAAACTGAACAATAACAAAGGAACTCATACACGTGTATTTAGCAATCAGATATTTAAACAACCGTGTAAGGTCTGACCGTACAAGCTACAATTCTATGATTATCAATTAACAACAAGGTATATACAAACTGCTTCGATAAAAATAAAAGAAATATATTTCTCAAATTAGGTACATAATTTATTAAGATATCTTTGATTTATTTTTTCGTTAAGATATATGAAAGAAATAGGTAAAAGAGATAGAAGTGACTTATCATCAAACTACTTTGTCACTAAAGAAATGTTAAAAGTATGTGTCAAATAAGCAGACACATTTATTTATAGAAAAATCTCGGTAGTTAGATACCATGATTCATCATTGAATATATTTCATCTTTGATAGTTCTTGTCACTGTGAAGGATAAAACTACCGATGATTATGTATCTGCATTTACTTACGAAAATGGGGAAGGAAAAACACAAAATGAGTGTGAAATTGTCTAAGTGTCGTAGTTTTTTTTATTGACAATATATTTATGTTCAGTACGAGAAAATTTTAGGTAAGTTGAATAATATACAAAAGGTTAAGTATGAGATCCCATGAATGTATGTTTCCATCATCTACTGCGAGCCTGCATTTGTCTGAGTCAGACCCACGCTATTCTGAAATTATCTCGGCTGTTTATCATATTTCCTTTCCACGACTCGACCATTATGCTCGGTATAATACTCCTTCTTCGGGATATTGGGATGGTAACGTTCAATGCTTCATCATTCGCTTCGGTTATACTGAATAAATGAGACCTCATTCTTTTTTCCTCTAGAAATGTTCATAAAATGGTACACACAACATGAACATACAATTAATGATCTATGTCAGTGATTCAGTATAGAGACACTGAAGATACTGGACGGTGGAAGTGGGTTTCATACAATGAAATGTAGCATCGCATCACCGGTCAGCACGTGACATTAGGCCGGATATCACTCCCTACTGAGGCCATGCGTAGAGTTTTTAAAGTGTGTAGGTCCCCTTTGAACTGCTCAGCGATTTACTGTGTAGGTTCGTTAACGGAGATGAAACCGGGCCCTCCTTGCAGCGGCAGGGTTCTTCATATTCGCGTGATGTGAATCGCGGCAGGTTTTAAAAGCTTGCCAACCACCTCTAACCTGCTCTTCTCAACGCGGGGGCGACACTGGTTTAAGGCCTAAGGTGCAAAAAAAAAAGTTCTTTAGTAGAGTCCCACGCCTTGCAAGGGGACAGGAATAGTGTGTAACGCTTTTTTTCTTAGGTTAAAAGTCACCACGTGACCACACCCGTGTAACGTCGGGTAATTTAGACATGTGGAAAAACTGTTTGCCTAATCGCGTCAAATACCCGTTTTTTCTAATTTGTTTGGGTCAAGTTTGGAATCAACTCATTTTACGATGGAAAATAGAAATGACGTAACAACTTAGTATTATACAGCGAGTCCAATTATAAGGGCAATTTAACGTCACCGGGAAAAGATGTATTCTTATGAAGAGTACATTATGTATGTAAAATAATAAATATGTTCTTCGCATGTTATCCTATTAATATTATAAAGGCGAAAGTTTGTAAGTATGGATGTATGGATGTTTGTTACTCTTTCACGAAAAAACTACTGGACGGATTTGGATAAAACTTTACAGCAATATAGGTTATACATCAGAATAACACATAGGGTACTTTTTACTGGGAAAACTTCTCACTCCCACGGGATACCGACTTCCACGCGGACGAAGTCGCGGGCGTCCACTAGTAAAATATATTTTATGAAAAATAAATGTTTTCATAACTCACATACTCTTTGCTTAGTAGAGCTTCTTTGAGTATAGCTATTTTAACAAATCGTTTTGGAGTATTATAATTCTATTACATACTTAGAAATATAATTTATGTCATATAATAGAACTTTATATCGCCTCCTCAACACGTCCCATCAGCTATTAAGGAAAATATATTATTATTGCCGTTATAAATATACCTTATGGTTATGGTAATAAGGGATTTATGGAACGGAATCTCTTTGTGCTAGAACTTTAGCCCGGATCACATAATTGCCGACCCGATCAGTTGCAGATATTCGTATTATTGAGAAATCGCCAGGATTCAAAATCGGAAAAGAATATAATATTCACTGACGAAATTTTGGTATATTAAAGCGAATTTAGTATAGAGTGCCTCTTATAATGGGTCTAGTTATATAGGAACTTATGTTTATTACACACTAGCTTTCGCCAGCGGCTTCGCCCGCGTGGACCCTAGGGAAATGTTTAGTGGGATAAAAATCCTATTATCTAAGTCAGCTAACACCCTATCTGTATACCAAATTTCATCAAAATCCGTTCAGTAGTTTCGGCGTGATTGACGTACCAACATCTAAACATCCAAACATCCGAACAAATAAACTTTCACATTTATAATATTAATAGGATTCATATATAGATTTTAAAATTCTTTGCGTTATAATATCTCACACATTTGTACATAAAAGAGTTTGCTCACACACTAAAGTATATAAATAAATACTATATCTATATAAAAAAACTTTCATTTAAGAAAAACCTGTAAAACTGTCATCAATAATCCTTTAAAAAAATTATAAAGACAGAATCTGTTTTCTACGAAAATATCTCGAATTAACAATATAGTTACTTTTTTTTAATCTCCCATCCAAAAACAATATCAAGCCAGATTTTAAGGGCTGGTTACACTAACTTACTTAAACCATAACGAAGTAAAAGTATCAGATAAGCAAAGAGTTGCACCATTTGGCAATGGTTAGATGACGGCATAACTTGGCCTTTCGTCATTTTTATTTCTGTAAAACTATTTTTTTTTCGCTGTAAATTCATTAGTTATGACTTTTTAAAAAAGTTAGGAAATTATGCGGAAGAAGCCGAGGACGAAAAGTTGGTAGTATATATTATGAATGTAAGTATAAAGTTATAGCGGCCAGAGTCGTATATAAGGCAGATATGACAATTACATATGATATTTTCCATCTCCCCAGTTGCCATATGGCGCAACGAGCGCCGCGCCAAGCTGCTATTCTGTCGTCAATCCTTTATGCCCCGAATTTCGCCTTTTCTGTTGACATTTCAAAATATTAATATAAGCTGCTAGGGACTTTATTGTGTAAAAGAATTCACACTTTACAAAGATTTTAATTAGATTTCATTTATATTCGCTTCAAACAGCATTCTTAATTTTTTAGCACACTAATACTTTA